TACTTTTTCAAAAATGAATCAATACTTTTTCAAAAAGAATCGATACACATTTCAAAAGTGAATCGATACTTTTTCAAAAATGAATCGCTACTTTTTTAAAAGTGAATCGCTACTTTTTCAAAAGTGAATTGATACTTTTTCGAAAGTGAATCGCTACTTTTTCAAAAAAGAATCGCTACTTTTTCGAAAAGAATCGCTACTTTTTCATAGTTCTATAATTTTTCATAGTTCTATAGTGTTTAACTATGTATATTTACATTGTAATAAACGTATAATTACATTGTAATAAACATATAATTACATTGTATTAAATGTATAATTACATTGTAATAAATGTATAATAAGACTGTAACAAATGTATAATTACATTTTTTACACAACTTTTTTCAAAAAGAATCGCTACTTTTTCAGAAAAGAATCGCTACTTTTTTTTAAAGAATCGCTACGTTTAATGTATTTTTACATTAACTAATAAATGTATAATTACATTGTAATAAACGTATAATAAAACTAATGTATAATTACATTGTTATAAATGTATAATAAAACTGTAATAAATGTATAATTACATTGTAATAAACTTATAACTACATTGTAATGTATAATTACATTGTAATAAACGTATAATTACATTTTATTAAATGTATAATTACATTGTAATAAATGTATAATAACACTGTAATAAACGAGTCAAGTTTGAAATCCATTGGACTGACGGTTCTAGAGATATTCGATTAACAGACAGACAGACAGACAGACACACAGACAGACAGACGTTTCTGTAATTTATAGATAGACTAGTGCAATGCCCGCGCAAAATCTGTTTTTAGTAATTGTTGGTTTGGTATGTTTGCTGAATAGCTTAGGCTACTCTTACACAGGAGCCTAAACTCTGAGAAAACGATAACGTTAAGCACACCAGAATAAAATATAATATTCAGTAGTAAACAGTGTAGCTGACTTACAGATTCAGTTAACATCCACAAATCAATAAGTGCGACGATTAAGGGAGCACACAGTGAACTCCGAGAAAGCGCTACGCTTGAGCAAACAGTTTGTGAATAGGATACTACAAATGATGGCCATGAATAAAATATAATATTCAGATTTTTTTAAACCTCAACCCTCTAATGTCAAAATATTTATTTTTGGGAGTGGCCACTCAGTGTGCAGTGTGATAGGGGAGTGGCCTCAGTGTGCAGTGTGAGAGGGGGAGTGGCCACTCAGTTGTAGTGTGAGAGGGGGAGTGGCCTCAGTGTGCAGTGTGAGAGGGGGAGTGGCCTCAGTGTGCAGTGTGAGAGGGGGAGTGGCCACTCAGTTGTAGTGTGAGAGGGGGAGTGGCCACTCAGTTGTAGTGTGAGAGGGGGAGTGGCCAGCGGCTAGAGCAGCAAATGCCAATGTGTGCTTCTTTTACCAATATATTTAACGATATCTTTTGAATTTCTAATGCTAGAATAGGCAAGAATAGGCTAGAGGTTATTCTAGTTTGCTAGAATAGGCTTCTACAAATGATGGCCGTGAATAAAATATAATATTCAGATATTTTTAAACCACAACCCTCTAATGTCAGAATGTTTATTTTGGGGAGTGGCCACTCACTGTGCAGTGTGAGACAGAGTGGCCAGCGGCTAGAGCCAGTAGCACCTCAATGCAGTACATGAAATCCACGGGGAGGAGTCGGATCAAGATCCAAGGGGTGGAGATGGGTAGGATTAGGGGTGGGTTTAGGGATTAGGGGTGGGTTTAGGGATCAGGGGGCGGAGATGGGTAGGTTTAAGTATATGTAAGGTGGGAGAAGTAGGATCTGGATCCGACTCCTCCCCGTGGATTTCATGTTCTGCAGTGAGGACCATCTCGCTAGAGCGGCAAAAGACAAATGTATGCTTCTTTTACCAATATATTTAACGATATATTTTGCATTTCAAATCCAAACAACGACAAACTCGGCACTGCACTTACTCGTGCCCGTAGCAAGACACCTGTCAAGTTTGAAATCCATCGGACTAACGGTTTGAGAGATACCGGTATGCGAATAACAAATGTCAAAATCAGTTTTTGTGCATGTTTTTAGTAATTGTTGGTTTGGTGTGTTTGAGTGCTCATTGTTACAATTACACAGCGAAAGTTCAGTGACATTTTTATGTGTGCATGGTAGAAAGCAAATACTGATACTGACATAATGACATACAATAAATAAGGAAAATTTAACTACATAGCCTATATAAGTAACTTCTGACAACTAACTACTTCTGAATAACTACAATATTCAGAAGTATAAACAGTGTAGCTGACTTAATGTTTATTTTTAAACCACAACCCTCTCCAATGTCAGAATGTTTATTAGACAGACACACAAACAGTTCCTGTAATTTATAGATAGATATCACATCATCTCACAGCACTGAAGATGTAAGACCAGAGACTTGACACTGAAAAAACAGGAAGGCCAGAAAAACAGACTTTTTTTTTTTTTTTTTTTTTATAGTGTCACTGTAATAATTTGGGCAGTTGTGGCCTATTGGTTAGAGAGTCAGACTTTTAACCCAAAGTTTGCGGGTTTGATTCTCAATACCGGCAGGAAAATGACTATGGGTTACCATACTTGGCTATCACGTCACAGTTTAATATAGATACTCTGCAGTAACTCTCCCTCATTATTCAATGAATGAAAAATGATTAAGAAAATACACATGAATAAGAAATGATTGGAGATATGTTCATTTTTCAGTAATTAGCCCTGCAGATGAAGTGCTAAATTTGATTATGATTAACAGTAGCCACTCGCTTTTCATTTAGGTTGTCCCTCTTCTCAAACCCTCTGCTGTTTAACGGACCATTTCAAGAATGAAAACAGGCCATTGCGTGGCTGTATATCACACAATGGCCTGCCATTTTAAACAATGGAGCATTTAGTACATAGCGAGCAGCTAATTATTCTGGTTGATGCTTTCCAAGAAGTGTATTAATGTCCTCTTTCTACATGGATACATCTAATACTTCACCTCAATGAAGTGAAGCCAACATTAACATTTATAGAGGATGAGGGGAGGAAAGAGATGGAATAACCAAACTGTGTCATAAATGAGCTTGGGGAATCAGGGAAATATTGTTTACTCATTATTGCGGAGATGCTCTTTAAGCACAAAATATAATCTTGCTTTGTCACTATTCTGTATATAGAACACTATTGTGCTCTATTCTAAATGCAAAACACTATCGTGCTCTGTCACTATTCTACATAATATTATGCTCTGCTATTCTATAAGTTGAATGCTATTAGGCTTTGCGCTATTCTACATGTAAGAACACGTCTGTGATCTGTCACTATCTTGTAAATGGAACACTATTGCACTCTGTCACTGAAGAACACTATTCCTTTCTGTCACTATTCTGTAAATAGAACACTATTCTCCTGCCACACGTTTTCATTTGAATTAGCACCTAAAATGGGCAGAGCACCAAATGTGAATGTAAATACAAATTGAAAAATAACATGCAACATGGGCGACCTTAGCATGTGCACTTCTCTAAAACCCTACTTTTAATTTTATTTAGTTGAAATCAATCATTCTGACTGATTAGTCAAACCTGTTTGTTCTCTGGGTACTCTGTTAAAATGTTATCCCTGCAGATAATCAACCAAGAGCCCGGCAAAACAATTCCCTCTGACTGTCATTCTTAGCAGAAATTATTATTATTATAAGGCAAATACTGTTTTTTTTTATTTACCATGGGCTTATAGCGACCCACAGTGGTGACATTCTGGAATACACAGACACACACACACGTTGGGTTTCATGTTTTATAGGAACATTCCATAGACATAATGATTTTTATACTGTACAAACTGTATATTCTAACCCTACCCCTAAACCTACCAATCACAGAAAACTTTCTGCATTTTTACATTTTCAAAATACCTAATTTCGTATGATTTGAAGTGGTTTTCCTCGTGGAGACCAAAAAAGATTTTGGATATTGCCATCTTTGTGGGGATATTTGATCCCCAAAACATAGGGTTTACCTGAACCACACACACACACACACACACACACAGATGTTTTTTTGTTTTTTTGTTTTTCACTATATTAGTGAAGATATTGCATAGACTGCCATTGATTTATGTCGAGTTAATGATAATTTGTTTTGGCCGATTTATATTCCCTTTTAGAGTAAAATGTTCTCACAAGTCTGTTTTCATTAAATATTCAACTGTATGTGAGGACATTTGTCACTCAAAAAAATTAAAAAAGTACACACACAAACTGAAACTAGTAGGCCTAGCCTATTTTTAAGGGAGGTTTTTCCAACCGCTGTATTACACATAATGGGTCAGGGGTTATTTTTGGTAATACGCCCAGCAAGTTAGCAATAGGCCTAATAGGCCACGCAACGAGTTTAAATTGACACAGACAAAAGTAGGCCTAATAGTAATAGTAATAAAATGTAAGTAGGCTAGCTGTCATAACTGAGAGAAGCTGCATTGTTTGTTACATGTAGGGGGGGCCTCCTATTGCTTTTTTTTTTCTTTTCTTTTTTCCAAATTAAGTTAAAAATAAAGTTTTTCACAAATTAGCTCAGTTAACTAATATATTTTTGAAAGTTTAGGTGATACGTTTGAGAAGTCACTTTGCAAAGAAAATATTTTATTTTTTACTTTTTATTTTTTTTTAAAAAGCAATTATATTTTAATTGCATTTCATTGTTCCGATCTTTTTTATCCTCATGAATACACTTGAGATATATTGATCAAACCATCTAATATTCATTAACAATGTATTGTTTACATTTGACAGATACATTTCTACAAAGCAAGTACATTGTGTTCCCTGGGAATCTTTAAACTCATGACCTTTTGGGAAATTTCACGTTTGTTGTCAGAGGCAGAGGTGAGAAATTATGGCGTTATTTGTGGCGTAAATGCTCGCGCATCTACGCAATTTCCTTGAGTGGGAGAGACATGCTCAAGCGCTGCTCTCCCATAGCTCACGTCATCACACAAGTAGATTTCTGTTATGCTGTTCAAGAAAACTTGGCTCAGGTAGTTTGAAGGCTTTTGTGTAGATCCTTTCTGCCAGGACAGCACGCGCAACACGCTCACAGGTGAAGGAAACACCGGTGTTGTCCCGACACATTTTCATCCAGTTATCGTGTAAAGGTCATCAGCGAACTTTTCCTATGTTTGAAACAATCGCAGTGAACATGACGAGTTTGAAGGCGTTTAGCGAGCCATTTGGTAAGTAAAACTGCGTGATCTTTACTAAACTTTCTTTGTTTCTGGAGAAAACATGTGCTTTATACCGGAGTGGCAAAGTGATGGACGCTTGTTTTTTCTCTCTCTTGTTTTCTCGCGGTCTTTAAGTAGGCCTTCTTGGTTTGAGTTTTTCTAATTAATGCTTTAGCAAACGATACTATAAGAACTAAGGTCTTTAGTTGTTATGTAAACATAAGTAGACAAATGCATTTGCAGTTAGGATATAAGGACGCATCAAGTGCAACTCAGGTGGACTTTATCACAGTAGTCTATGGTGTGACTTCAGCTATACGGATGTCGTGTTTAATTTTAATTATTTGTTTGTTTGAGTTACCAAAACTTGCTGTTTTGATTTTTAAAGGCCTTTCTTCTTTGTATGTAGGGGTGACCGGGTTTATACTACAGTATTTGTTTGTGTTGCTTCTGCTAGTGTCTGGGTGGCCATGCAGAAGAAGATCTGTGCAGAGGGTTTTGCCCTGCAGGATTATATTATGATGTGGTTTACATTTTATCTGTTCAAGTGCATCCCGAGCAAGCAGCTACACGCTCTCTGCATTCCCTGGCTGAGCAGAAACACTCATGAATAGATGCAGGCTGCACAGGTTTGGATTCGTCTGCAGTAGCCTACTGACTGGGGCTAAATGTGGCACCTGTAGATAGATCTGTCCATGAGTTTTAGTTTATCTCTCTACCTCTGTGAAGGATGAAACACATTTGTAGCACATACTGATATCAAATAATTTTGCATAAGCTTTTTTTTATTAGTGTTGGGTATTTTTTGGTAGTGGGGCAGAATAAGTGAATATCTTTCCAGAGATAACATCATCACCTCAAGTTGCTAGGCACTCTTTCCGGTTTGATGCTCAGGCTACATCAGAGTTTGTTTCTTGTTTTGTTTTTTTCCCTGCATGTACTTTCTGCAGTCACCATCATTGCATTAGAAAGTGCGTTTCACTTCTGACACCCAACATCCTGTTTCAGCTAATGGATTTCTTAGAAAATACCCTTTATATTTCATACCGTGTTTAGGAACCTCTTTATTCCTCTGAATTGGGTTTGCCTGTCTTTCGTGCGAAGCAGCAACAGTGGATATGAATGCACACAACATTGTGTGGTACAACTGTGGTTAAGCTGTCTGGTGTAGGCGAGACTGGGGTGATAGCCAGTCTACATGATCGATCTTTTCCCTCACCAACCTTAGGAAACAGACAGGAAGTTTTTTCTGTCTGAAGTTGTGTCTCTACTGTCCCTTTAACATAACTCTGTATAATGGAAGTTACATTTTATTATGCTTTATCTTGAAAAAGAGATGAATGATAAAAGTAAAAAAAAATGCTTTAGATACTTATTTTGCAGGAACTTGGACTATTCCAACAAGTGCCTATTATTAACCCAATGCTGTCATCACTTCAGGGCTAGCATCATACTGGGTCAGTGTTGGCGGAAGTTACTTTTAAAAGTAATGCATTACAATATTGCGTTACTTCCTAAAAAATTAAAGTAATGTATTATGTTACTTTTTCTCACCTGGGCTTGCTGGCTTGTTTGTTTTTCTTTTTGTTTTTTAATAACAAAAAATATATAAAAACCCTTTCACGCCAAAAGTGAAATGAATAAGCCTCAGGCTGAAGGAAATGCAGAAGCACGCGTGTACAGTAGAGAGTGCAGCTCAAACAAACCTTTCATTCTAGATCGCAGAAGAATAGGGTGCATGAGAAGAAAATTCAAAACAAAACAATTAAACCCAAATGTTATTCTAAAGTAGCCTAATTTTAGCTGATTATTATGGTTGAATTGGATCGTCAAAGGTCAGCAGCAAATACGCTGGTTAATAAAGTGAGAATAAATACATAAAGTATATTTGTGTTATTTAATATTTAATTATTGCAGGTTTGCGTAATATTATGGTTTGCATTTCACAGTTTGTCTTCATTTGAAGGAATACTGAATCTGTTCGAACTGCAAGTCTGAGGACCCCCTTAACAATTGCTCAAGAAAAATGCCACGTCACAACATGAAATTGCAAGTTATTAAAAAGTCTCAACCCCAGCCAATTATTCACTTTATTTAGAAAGTGAAATATAAAATATACTTCAAAATGTTCTGATAATGGTATATAACGGTCTTAATTTATTTGTTAAATAAGGTTGTTTTGTTTTTTTAAATGAGTAAACTAAGTAATCTAACACATTTTATTTTCATTGCAACTCATTGGTTATGCAGTGATGCGCTATGAAATTATTGCGGGGCAAATTAATTGTAATATTAATTTAATAATAAAAGTCATTCAGATCAAGATCATCGCAGCGGGGGCTAAGCCGGGCCTCAAGAAAGGGGAGGGGCTTATCCAGACCAAATGATTCGAGAATTCCTGCATGTCACCAGAGGAAACTGTCATTGCACAGGTTAAAAAAAAGGTAAAACTAGAACGCCTGCATGGATAAATCGTTCACAATAGGATCAATAACATACGTTTATATATGTAGAATGAATTTTATTTCATGACGACTTTAACTCTTAAAATATAGTACAAACACAATTCGTCATTCCCCAGACATTAAAATTAAACAATTTCTCGACTGTACAAAGCTAATCAATATTTAATAAGGCAAGCACCATTCAAACTTTGGTTAGTTGTCTGTTGCTACTTGCTGTAGCAGTCAAGCTCAGCGTTGTTTTGGCACAGCAAATTGGGGCGATCACATTGAATGGCATCATCATTGTCTCTGTGCCATGAAAGCAGAGATCTGTGTTTGAATCTGCCACATGACAGCGTTGCCACTGAATTACACATGCACAGAGGCTTTCACAAACTCACACGCATCTCTCACACTTCCTTCCTCTCACAGTCACTTAGTCATTTTTACTAGCAATCTTCTCTGTTTCTTAATGCTGTTTGTTGGTTCCGTAATTGTCCTACAGCTTCTGAGGAGTGTTTGTGATCTGCTACTGCTCGACTTTTTGGAATCCGGCAAGTAACTCGTATAGTGAAGGAGCCTTTTTTTGCGACAAAACAATAATAGGTTCTTTTCGTTTTTGAAAATGAGATATTTAACTGATGATTTTGGAACTCAATGTTTGGATTTGTTTAAAGTTTCTCTTTAAATAGAAACTAATCAAATGCCATCGCACTGGTCACATTTTGTTCTTGCATATCATCGCCGTTTGTCTCAACCTGTACCTTTTCTTTCGTGCCAAATATTTATATATATTAGCACAAATTCTGTTTATTTAGATTCACAAATGGAAAATAGGATGTTGTTCAGTGTGATGTAGTCTAACATGCAACACTGACGCACCAATGTTGATGTGATGCGTGTTTGACCTTTGGGATTTTTGCAGGGAGAGTGGCTTCTGAACCGGTGGAGGACACTGACCCCAGCACCTTCATTACAGAGATGGTATGTTTTTTTTTTTTTGTTTTCAAAAACAAACCTTAGATTTTCTTTTGTAAAGTAAAGGTCTTTGAAAACTTTGAAAGAAAATTTGGGTGGAATGTCATGGATTGATGACGTTGGGTAATACCCACTGCACTGACACAGTTGAATCATATGTGATGTTTAGTTTTGGTTTGTTATGACAGACTACATGAGTTGTAAACATTGTCGTCTTTCATATTGTGATCAAATGCCACTGATTATGTAGGTTAGACATGATTTTCATACATGATATCAAAGTAGCATTGGATGGGAGCAGCAGGTTTGAAACCCACACTCTTACCTTGTTGTGTGACGCCCTCAGAGGTTTGTTCTAGCATGTTCTCTGCTCATTTATCCACACATCTGAAAGTTTAATTTCCCCCCCTTCACTGTACGCACCTCCTCTCTTCAAATGTGTCCCAACATGTAGAAAGAGAAACAAAGGTGTATTGTTTACCTCTAAGGTCTTGATTCAGATGTGTGTGATGCAAGTTTGACCTCTGGGGGTCTTTGCTGATGTTTTCTTTTGTGTGTTTCAGTCTCTAAGGTCAAATTACCCTGTTCAGGTCACTGATCCACAAGGTATCAGAGGTATTTATGGTTTATTTATATTGTTGCTGCTTCTGTCATACGCTGAATGTTTATTTTGTGTCTGCTTATTGAATCAAGTCTGCTGATCTCAGTTCAGTTATTCAGAATGGTGACCTTTTAATGAGCCTCCACACTTTCCATTTAATCGTGTTCAATTGGAACTTTTAATTGTTAATAAAAGATCAGCATATATATTCATAGAAATTTGACTTCTGATTCTCTACAGATCCTGTAACCCTACAGCTCAGCTCTCTTCCCCCTGGTTATCTGACGTCAGCGGTGGGCCGAATACGACAGGTGAGTCATGTGATCTTTTAGTTGCCTGATATCATTTCTTTGCATATAGTTGGGTCTGATCACTTTCTATCATTATTTGCTGAAGTCACGTACTCATTTCTGACAACATCCTTATTTATAGATGCAAACTACACACTGTGTGGTGTACTGATTCTTGTGTGATGTGGGCTGTGTAAGAAATGTGGTTTTTGTGTAAATGCCAAAGGCTACAGTTTATTCCACTTCTCGGGACTGTGCGGTTGTTCCCCCTACTTCTTGTTTCATATGTTTCAGTTGAGTTTTCTTTAGGGGTGTGGGTTCACTTGCTCTGTAGCCCTTATTTTAATGTATTTGTGCTAAGTGTGTTAATAGAGCCTTCTTTTTATACATAAGCCTTAACATCTATTCTTTTTCACCCAGCCTGTGGAAAATGACGGTACAGAATTTATCCCATCGGCTTCTGTTTCATCAGGTATGTATCAGTGGTAGAATATTAGTTTTATAGTGATCACAACATGTACATTGTAACAAATTTGTAAAATTAACAGTGTTTAAGAAATTATTATTTAAAAGTACAGTATGTACCTTTTTTGTTGTTGCTCAAATTTACCTGATGAGCAAGTACAACATGAATCTATATTCCAAACCATGTACACTACGGTACACCTATATTAAGTGTTTATATTCGGACCGGGTTTATATGTGTGTTGATACCAGTGTTTATATTTTAGACCGGGCAGGACAACAAACAACCGCTTCGGAGTAGGCCAGTACCTGCGTTACTCGTCATATACATACACAGAGAGAAATAGCGCCGACTACCAAGTTCTTCCGCGAAATTTACATATGGCGCTTTTCCACTACACAGTACCAGCTCGCCTCGGCTCGGCTCGGCTCGACTCGACTCGCCTTTGTTTGGTTTTCCACTGTGTAAAAGTTGTACCTGTACCTGCTTTCGGGTACTTTTTTTCGTACCACCTCCGGCGAGGTTCTGAGGAGCTGAGGCGAGCTAAGCCGATACTAAAATGTGACGTGAAAACAATGCCGACTGCTGATTGGTCACAGGGAATCTGCGTCATCATTGCACGCGCCAGATGGAGTATTTTAAATAGTTTGGCCAGAGATAGTTACTAAACTTACTACTATTATTATGGCAACTCGGAAGAATACGCCGTGGTCAAACGAGGAGGTGCAGACATTCCTTTGTTTGGTTGCCGAAGAGAGGATCCAGCGAGAGCTTGATGGGGCAACGAGGAACGAAATGCGTCGCTATGACGACCGGGTACTATTTGTGGCGGTACTTTCTGCAATGGAAAACGGAGCGAAAAGCGAGCCGAGTCGAGGCGAGCCAAGGCGAGTCGAGTCGAGCTGGTACTGGTAATGGAAAAGCGCCAATAGTGTACCTTTTAAAGTCCCCCTTGTGGTGAAAATCAAGCTTTTAATGTTGTTTATATTTCTATGTAATGTTTTAATATGCTTTAAGACAAGCCATGTGCAAATTCATAAGTCAACACCATTGCTGAGTATTTTCTCCTTAAAACTGCAGTGAAACAAAGAGAGACTCAAAAACGCGGTTTGAAATCACTGTTGTTTCTGACGTCACAAACTACCTTTTAACCAATCATTTGGCTAATGAGTTAAATTCAAGTTATTTTAAGGCATGAAGTTTTTTTTTTTTCAAGTAAAAAAAAACTTTTAAATATCAAATATGAGTTTTAAGGGATCAAATTATTGACTACAGGGGGATTTTAAAGATTAGCTTTTAGTGAGCATTAGATGATGAGGTAAAGGTAAATCTCAATTGATTCAAGCAAATGAGCATGAATAATTAGCCGATTAATTAAAAGAAAATCTCTAAAATCTGCTGATTTGATTGTTACAATGTATGTTGCTTTCCTGTGTAGTAATCTACTGTTTGTGTATCACATTCACACTAAAGTTTCAACAATGAATTTAGAATTCTGTCGAAATACTTTACTGAACTGAAATCGTGCATCAAAAATATTTAAAGATTATTTTAGATATTATATATAATGGTAACACTTTACAATAGGTCTCATTTGGTAACATTAGTAAATGCATTGGTTAACATGAACTAACAGTGAGAAATATATATTTTTTAAAGCATTTATTTATTATTGTTACTGTATGTAAAAATATAGTTGTTCATGTTAGTTCACAGTGCATTAATTAATGTTAATAAATGCAACTTTTGATTTTAAAAATACATTAGTAAATGTTGAAATTAGCATTGTCTCATTTGAATAAATGCTGTAGAAATATTGTTTATTGTAGTTCATGTTAACTAATGTAGGTATAAGTATTGTTACTGTTGAATTAAAATGTTGGATATATCCCATAATGTCTGCTTTTCTTTCCCCACTCTCTAGACTTTAGTAAAGAACATAAGTCCTGTAAGGAATGTTTGTGTTCTGCCCCTACACCCAAAATCAGTGATCTGATGAACGACGAAGACCTTCTGTACACCCTAAGGCTGAAGCTGGATCCAACTCACTGCACTGTCAAAAACTGGAAGAACTTTGCAAGCCGCTGGGGGATGAGCTACGACGAGCTCACGCTTCTAGAGCAGCGCACACACGGTCCCACCTACCAGAGTCCCACTCAAGAGTTCCTCCTGCGCTACAACCAGAAACCTGTCACGGAGCTCACCGAACTTTGCCAGCTTTACCAGCGCATCGATGTGCTCCGATTGCTCCAGAGGTGGTTGGAGAACGACTGGCCCTCGCGCTGGCAGAAGGCTCATTAGCTGGGACTTAATAATAACTGGACCTTAATGAATGAAATGTGTTCGTAGAATCTGAAATTCATGACTGCAGGGATGGACAGCAGGTCAGAACACACACTACTGAAGAGTGGTGGTGCAAAGACAGCGTTTACAAGGTTGTACACTGGACTTAGATTATTTTGAACTTTTGGCTGATTTCATCACTCCAAGTGTCACAGATTGGTTCACATCTTTGAAATACAGATATTAGCTATGCGATTGAAGGGTGATCAACAAATATAAGCAGTGACGCATCAGCACTTAAGGAGGAAATGGAAAGACCACTCAGGTGTGACTACACGTCTGGAAAGTCTCTGTCAATCCAGTCATACACTGTTTAATTTATTTTTAATACAAACAGCCATCTGTGTGTTGTGCCACTGTTGGTGGTTTTATGAAGTGTCCTTAGTAACATTTGTGATGTTGAGTCATTTGAGATGGTTTCTCACCTTTAGTCTTGCCTGCATTCTAGTAATAGCCTATTTAATCAATCACAAATGTGTGGCTGGTCAGGACACAAAAACTGAATCTCCTTCATTTCAGCTGTAGTTCAGCTTCCTATAAGCTCCTATTGCAATAAGGCATTTATATCCCAGGAAAATATGAGGTTAGAGGTAGTTCATAATTTTGATTGATGCCAAATCACATATAGATTACAGCTATTTTGCAGTTAATTCAAGTCTTTAAAAAGTAAAACAACATAAAAGACAAGAGATTTGATGAGGTAGAAAAAAAAAAGTTTAACCTTGGGATTGATTTAATTAAATATAGTCCTAGCTACAGGTATATGGTACAGGATGGTGTGCTTTGATTATTGGCCTTTGTCTGTAAACCATTTGTTGAATTGAATGCAAGATGTAAGAAAAGTTTTACTATTTACGGTACACTAAAATTCGTTCTGCTCGTGTTCTATGAATGAGACTCATAGGGAGGGTTTGTGAAGTAGTCAGTTAAAGATTAAACATTTAGATTTAAGTAACATATAAAACATTTTGATATATATTCAAATTCTCATTGCACTGCTTACTGAGCACTTGAATTTAGTATCACGGTTGGTATGAATGGCACTTAAATTATTTTTCGCCCTATTATTTGGAGTCTTTAAAAAAGATTTAGAATGTCTCTGAGAAAGGAGCAGTAAAATAGCAGTATAACTGCAGAGAACCATGGGTCTGGATTGGAAGTTGATGGAACTTACAGTCTGAGCTGGTTTAAATTTGGTTATCGCAAATATTTGATAGTTTAAAAAATGCAGCTCGTTGCGGTTTCAGAATTCATGGTCAAATATCAATCACAATGCAGGTAATAGGGTAGGTTTTGACAACATTACCTCTTCTAAACAAGATTCTTTTTGTCTTCTTTAAAAAGTGTTTGGTTTTGTGCTCTGTACTCTACCTAGCTTTTAATTTCCTGTGTCTGAATTTTAAAGCCGCATCTGTTTGTGTGCATCAGAGGTTCTCTGTAAAAAAATAAAACATTTATATGCACAGTATCTAAATATTTGTTAAAATTATGTTTGTCAATAGGTACAAAATGTTTTTTTCATCAAGAATACATTATGAACTATTGGCATAGTTGATGTCAGAAGAGGTGAAAAACTAAACAAATAATTGTAGATGTTTTGCTGTACTGTATCCATTTTTCATATCCTTAGAGTTTCTTTTTTTTAGTTTATATTTAAGGCATCCCGCATAACAGTGTGACATAATCAAATCTGAAGTAAGCATTAAAATAAATTAGCCATGTGTTGTTCATATGATAAACTTTATTAAAGTACTTTAAGAGAATTGTGCCTTTGTAAATATGGTAGGCACATGGCTAATTAAAAAGACAGAATGCCACAATTTTTTTGTGGTTTTTAATAGATGCAAGAAGTGGACTTGTTTGGGTTTTTTTTTTTTTCAATACTTTGTAAAATTATAAAACTGTAATGGAAAGAGGTGTAAACAAAAGACATATATATATTAGATAATAATACATGCATACATACATACTTACATACTACAAAAACAGTGGCAAAATAGACAAATTATAGATTCAGTGTATTTTTTTCTTTCATCTTCTTGTTAATATTTTGAGACAATACAATCGTTAAACATTTAGAGAGATTATTATACAATTATGTATTTAACTGAATATAAAAATAATTACATCTCTGTCAAATTCTATAATGCTTCTCCATTAATACTCTTTCCATTTTTAAAGTAAACAGTTGGTGGTTTTTTTTACATATTATTTTACATATCCATTATCTATATGCTGTGGATATGGAACCACACTAACAAGGTTTTACTTGAAGTTTAATTTGATAACAAACCAAGCATGTTGTTCAAGCTGAAGGTCATCTTGGCATCATCTTCCTTGCTAGTAGTATCAACTACTGGATAGTCCTTATCAGCATCAGGCTTTGTGACTTTAAATGTTCCTCTATTCACTTTTGTAGGGCTGCTTGGTTCTGGGGATATGCTGAAATCTGGGCTTGAGGTACGTGCATTAGACAACCTCAGCCTTTCCAGGATATCTACAGCTACTGTCTGTTCATTGACCCCAACAGATGGAGATGAAGCTTTCAGATTTGTCTTGACTGAGACCGAGGCAGCCTCATCAGTAATGGTTTCCGCAGGGTCAGTATTGTAGTCAACTGCTCTACTGAGTTCTTTCAAGATATTGTCAATGTTGCTGTCTGGCAAGCTGTGAGTCTTGAAGATAGGTATATTTATATCCTCATTCTTTGATTTGTGCCATTTGAAGGGCCATTTTATCCCACGTTTGGAGCCCTCAGCTTCAGCATTGATGCCTGGGACATCTACATCAACCCCAGCATTTGGTAGACTCAAGTCAACACCAGGACTGCAAACCTCAGGTGCAGATAGCTTTAGATCTGGTCCACTTACATCAGCATCAATGTCAACATCAGGAGATTTGACTTTTGGGCTAGACAGGTTCAACTTTTTGAATGTTGGGAATTTCAGCTTTCCTTTTGGAGCAGTGAAGTCAATGTCTGCTGTGGGAACATCTACATCAACCCCAGCATTGGGTAGGCTCATGTCAACATCAGGAGTACCAATCCCAGGTGCAGATAGGTTTAGATCTGGCCCTCTTAGATCAGCAGCAATGTCAACATCGGGGGACTTAACTTTTGGACCAGACAAGTTCAACTTTTTGATTTTTGGGAGCTTCAGTTTTCCTTCGGGAGTATTGATGTCAACATCTGCAGTGGGAAGCTTTATATCAGCATCTGGGACTTTGACATCTGTATCAACTGTTGGAGATGAGAGGCTGAGATCAGGAGCTTCTGCATTTAAGTCAATCCCAGGACTCTTCACTTCAGGACCAGAAATGTCAACTTTTGGTTTCTTAATTGTAATCAGCTTTCCAGATGGAGCCTTTAAGTCTGGGGAATTGACATCTACACTGGGAACACTGACTTCAGCTTTTGGTAAAGTTGCATTTACATCAGGCACACTGATCTCAGCTTTGGAAAGATTTAGGTCAGCACCAAGTGCATTTAATTTTCCTTCAAGTTTGGGAACCGAGAGATCTAGATCTGCGTTAGCATCCAGCTCAGGCCCTTTTACTTTTGGCTCAGACAGATTCAGTTTTGGCAAATTGAAATGTGGCATCCTAAATTTTCCAGATGTAGCATTAATGTCAACGTCTGGGACTTTTAGGTTCGCATCGGGTCCTTCAAGCTCTGCTTTTGGCAAGTTTATGTCTACATGTGGAGTGGGAAGATTTGGTGACTTTAGATTTCCCCCAATGTTCACAGTTGGAGCTTTTAAGTTGGCTTTTGGCAAACCAAAGTCTAAAGAGGGAGCAGCAATGTCACCTTCAACTTTAGGTGTGGAAAGACTAAGATCAGGTGTTTTAACATCTACATTAGGCCCTTTGACTTCTGCTGTTGGGATGTTCACATCTACATCAGGTGCATCTAATTTTGGTGTTTTACCAGAAATGCCAAACTTGGGAAACTTCAAGTGAGGTAGCTTGATTTTGCCAGAGGGGGCATCAATGTCTATTTTAGGAGCATTTAAGTCAATGTCCGGGGCTTTGAGATCTACATTTGGACTTTTGATATTAGCATCTGGCAAGTTCAGATCCACATCTGGAGCACTAAATTTGCCCTCCACTTTGGGTGCTGAAAGACTGAGCTCTGGAGCTTTCAGGTCTAGGTCCGGTGCTTGGAGATCTCCCTGTGCATTGAGGTCTACATCTGGACCTTTAATTTTTGGCCCAGATAGGTTTATTTTAGGCATTTTAAAATGTGGCTTCTTTAGCTTTCCAGATGGAGCTTCAATGTCAATATCTGGTGCCTGCACATCAACAGCTGGAGTTTTAATGTCTAGATCCGGTGCAGAGAGGTTGAGGTTTGGTGCTTGGAGATCTCCCGGTGCATTGAGGTCTACATCTGGACCTTTCATTTTTGGCCCAGATAGATTTATTTTAGGCAGTTTAGCATGCGGCATCTTAAGCTTTCCAGATGGAGCTTCTATGTCAATATCTGGTGCCTGCACATCAACAGCTGGAGTTTTAATGTCTAGATCCGGTGCAGAGAGGTTGAGGTTTGGTGCTTGGAGATCTCCCTGTGCATTGAGGTCTACATCTGGACCTTTCATTTTTGGCCCAGATAGGTTTATTTTAGGCATTTTAAAATGTGGCTTCTTTAACTTTCCAGATGGAGCTTCAATGTCAATATCTGGTGCCTGCACATCAACAGCTGGAGTTTTAATGTCTAGATCCGGTGCAGAGAGGTTGAGGTTTGGTGCTTGGAGATCTCCCTGTGCATTGAGGTCTACATCTGGACCTTTCATTTTTGGCCCAGATAGCTTTATTTTAGGCATTTTAAAATGTGACTTCTTTAGCTTTCCAGATGGAGCTTCTATGTCAATATCTGGTGCCTGCACATCAACAGCTGGAGTTTTAATGTCTAGATCCGGTGCAGAGAGGTTGAGGTTTGGTGCTTGGAGATCTCCCTGTGCATTGAGGTCTACATCTGGACCTTTCATTTTTGGCCCAGATAGGTTTATTTTAGGCATTTTAAAATGTGACTTCTTTAGCTTTCCAGATGGAGCTTCTATGTCAATATCTGGTGCCTGCACATCAACAGCTGGAGTTTTAATGTCTAGATCCGGTGCAGAGAGGTTGAGGTTTGGTGCTTGGAGATCTCCCTGTGCATTGAGGTCCACATCTGGACCTTTATTTTTTTGCCCAGATAGATTTATTTTAGGCAGTTTAACATGCGGCATCTTAAGCTTTCCAGATGGAGCTTCTATGTCAATATCTGGTGCCTGCACATCAACAGCTGGAGTTTTAATGTCTAGATCCGGTGCAGAGAGGTTGAGGTTTGGTGCCTTGACATCTAGATTCGGTCCTTCCAGTTCAGCTTTTGGCAGATTCATATCTACCCTAGGAGCCGACATGTTCAAGTCTGATGCTTGTATCCCTGCATTTAGATCTGGAGTTTTCAACTTTGATTTATGTAAGTTTAGCTTTGGCATTTTAAGAGTTGAGAACTTGTGCTTTCCAGATGGAGCTTTAACATCTATATCAGGTGGTTTTACATTAACATCTGTGTTTGTATCTATCTTTGGTGCTGAGAGACTCAAATTAGGTTTTGATACATTGGCATCTAAGCCAAACTGTGGTGCTTTAACTTTTTGCCCAAATGTGGGTTTCTTAAATATTGGAAACTTTATTTTGCCAGAGGGAGCACTTATATCAAAGTCTGGAGCTTCAAGATTGGCTCTTGGTAGATCAACGTCCACATTTGGTGCACTGACATCTGCATTTAATTTTGGGGCAGAAAGCGCAAGATTTGGTGTATTTAGATTTGCATCAACACTTGCCTCTGGTACTTTTACTTTTGTAGTTTTTGCTTTCTTTAATTTGGGAAATTTAAACTTGCCAGATGGAGGTTCAATATTTACTTTTGGTGTTTCGATGTCAAGGTTTGGACCACTGAGCTCAGTTTTTGCCAAGGTCATGTCTACTTCAGGGGTGTTCATTTCTCCATTAATCTTTGGGCCTGACAGACTTAGCTTAGGGGTTTTTAGGTCAGTGTTTATGTCTGGGGTGGTTAAATTCACATCACCATCAACCTTTGGTTTTTTAGCATGTAGATTGAAGTTGGGCTTTTTGAACCTGGACGTTTTGGTCTTCAATTCAGGTTTATCCACATTAATAGAAACATCCGGAGTGTTTAGACTAGGGGTGGAGACACTGACATCAGGTGCTTCTAATCTGCCATCCAGACCTGCTCCTTCGAGATTTGGTGCAGACATGCCAAAAGTTGGCATTTTGAACCCTGGGCGGCTGAAGTTTGGTGTGGCATTCTTTAGCTCAATCTGTGGCATTTCTGCATTTACTGTTGGGGTTGAGATGCCACCCTTGAGGCTTGGGGCATTTATCTGTCCATTCAGTCCATTAACCTGAACACCTGGTGCTTGAAATCCTGCCTCACTGTTCAATTGGAGATTACCAGGGGACTAAAGAGGAAGAAGAGATGAAGACATGATGAGATGAAGACATGATAGCTTCAATGATTTAGCTTCAATTTTTGTCTTTTTTTAATTCACAAGATTGCTTACCACTCCTGCTTTTAGGTCTTTTGTTGTCTTAAGTTCAAGGTTGTTGTCATAGGGCTCAATGATTTTGATCAGTTTTAGCACATCATCTTTACTAAGGTGGTCCAGATGAATTGTTGCAGAAACAAGCTGATGTCCTGGAAGAAACATAAAGAGAGGATAAGGTATGTTACAGAATCTATGAAGTTTGCTTGTATGATTGAGGGAACATATTGGATACATGCTCACTTTATGTTATTTATTTACCTTTCTGCAGGTTAATTGCTGGATTTGTGATTCCTGTGACGATGGCCCCTCCTTTCTCTGTGCCCTCCAGAGTTACACTCTTTGTTTCTCCATTCTGCACATAAACAAGGTTTTGTTTTTAATCTCATATATACACTTAATATTATATGCTTCAGGAAAAAAATATTTTACTCTGCCATGGCAAGGATGTAATCAGAATGAATGAATGTGTGAAATGTGAATGAATGTGTGAATGTGTGTGTAATGAATGTGTGAAATGTAATTAAAGGTGCTGTAAACGATTGTTAGCCATGCTGAAACTTCCAGCAGACTTAACCATTGAATCAGACATGCCCTGTCTTCTTAATGGCTAAACAAATCTGACTACATCTGTCAGGTAATAGGGATAATATTGCACCTTTAAATTGCTATTTTGAAGACTGGGTACTTACCATCATGTCTTCACTCCTTTAAATACAACTGGACATGTCATGAAAACCAGTTTTCAGGAGATCTGTCAAAACAAAAAACAACAAGACAATGTAATCATTTGGGAATGGTGATCGATGGTGGGAATGGTGATGGGAAATATGTGGGCGAGCAATCAATTGAAAATATTGCTTAAAATGTACATTTAAAATTTTCACGTGAAATGACTGACCTAAAGTCATTCAACCAAGCATTTTATTTTAGTATTTTTAGCAACATACAAAGGAAGTAGGCTACAGTGACTTATCGGAATTTGAATTTGAGGCTAGTTTCACACCTCAGAGCAAGAGAACCCCCTGCTGTGCTGATTCAGAACAAAGCAGCTATTACACACAATCGTCATGACATCGTTGCTCTATAAATGGGCATAAGTGTGCATTTACTTCCTTGCAGCCTCTTTAACCGCTTCCCACACTCCTTTAGACACTTGTTACATCAATATTGCATCATGTTCAGTAGCCTTGCATATAGACTAGGAATAAAGATAATATGAAGCACCACTGTTACAGGTTTTTAAAAGATGAATTGGTTAATAGTTGCATTTTTTTATCAATATAAATTATTTGAATATTTACTAAAAAAAAAAAAAAAACATTGCGCTTTGAAGAAGGGAAAGAGGAAGTGCTTGTGAAAAGTTAGGAACCACCTCCAGTTTTTCCAAGACAGAGATGTAATCGGCTGTAATGCAGTTCTAGTTAATCAGATGTTCAACAAGACTAGACCTCACCTCATAGTGAGAATGTGTTTGTTAAAAGGTCTATAAGATAGGAAGATACTTTTCCATGTTGTTTGCAAATTCACATTTCTTAAAGACAAGTTATAAAAAAAAATTTGCTCCCTTTGCCGTGTAAAATCAAAGGTCTATAACCTGGCAGCCAATCGCATGGGCACATGTGACTTTATGACATCATGACATCTTCAATTTCTCACTAAGGTTTGAGCTAACATCGTATAGGCTTGCAAAGTCTTTTTTTTATAAAGAAGAATTGTCATAATGTGCAAAATATAGCATCTACAGGCCCAACTTTTCAGATTTCAGAGTGTAAAACACAGCTGGCCTAACCTCCTAACTCAAAATAAAATGCTTTTTAACCTGGTATTCTGTCTCTTTAACAGATTTTGTATGTTTTTGTGTGCGTCTGGTTTTTGTCAGGAATGCTTTAGGAATGGATGGACTGTGGAGAATGAGGAGAACCAGTTTGTTCAGATGAAAGAAAGATGAGGAGATAAATACCAGGGGCCTGGTGTATAAACGTTACGTATGCACAAAAAAAGGCATTGGATTGTGTGTACGCAATTTTCCACATACATATCAAGATATATAATAAAAATAATTAACAATGTAATTTGACTGCACAAGTGGCATTTATAGTCTGTATCTCATATTTTCCTAATGTCTTGTACGAACATGGTATCACGTGGATGGAAATATGCACAAATGATATGCATAGTAAAACTTTTGTTTTATTTATAATGCACCATTAAAACAGCAGCAGCTGACCAATCTGCTTTACAACATCGGATAAAATAAATACAGGCAAAAGCAGTAGAAAACTAATTTCACAAATAAAATCAGAGACAATTTTCAAACTAAATAGCAAAAGAAAATCAAAATACTAACTGAAGGCAAATACAAAAATAAGGAACATTGAAAGCAATGGAAAAAGAATGAGTTTTGAGCGAAGATTTCAAATCTGTAATCTAATGTGAACTGGTAACCTGTTCCAGAGTTTAGGGCCCACAACAGCAAAGGCACGTTCTCCTCTTTGTTTAAATCTGACTCTGGGAACAGTGAGCAATCTATGACTACCGGAGCGAAGAGCTCGAGAAGGGTTATGTAAGGATAGAAGTTCAGATAGATATGAGGGGGCTAAGATGTTTAGGGACTTAAAAACAAAGACTAGGGTTTTTAACTCCACTCTAAACCGCACAGGCAGCCAATACAATGATGCTAACACAGGAGTAATGTGAGTGAATTCACGGAGGCCCAATAAAAGTCTTGCTGACGCATTTTGGACCAACTGGAGACAGGCCAAGGAAGTAGTGTTCATTCCACAATACAGTGAGTTACAGTAGCCTAAATGTGATGATATAAAAACGCGAACTAAAACCAGGCATTGCTCCATGCATGGTTATATGGTTATAGACGGGGTGGAGAAGCATGTATTTCCACTGACTGGGTTTTATAAAGGAATTTTGCGCAGGTTCTGGCATATACGTGGCTTTATAAATCTGAAAACTTTTGTGCACATGCACACTTTTAAGATGAAATCTACGCAAAGTTTTATACGAGTTTTTCCCTCTGCATCTCTTTTAGCTTTTTTCCCCTTATTGTCTGTTTTCAATTTGTCTAAAGCACATTATTCAGACTGTGATTGGAAGGGCTATATGGTCTTGACAATATGGTGAAGATTTTTTGTGTCAATATCAGAATGATATAATTACTCAATAAAGGCTTTAATCAGCAATTGGAATCATAACGTGTCTTCTAAAAAAACTGATGCTAAAAAGCCATATTTGTTATCATAATACTAGTATAATTATAGCCTGCACGTGATGCATGATGAATCAGTGCTAAACATTTCAGCTTAGCAAAATAACAATGTTTCTCCTGTTCACATTTTTGTGAATGTTCTCAGTTTGTAAGCTAGTATTAATCACTAAAACCTCAATAGACTCACATTTATAACAACCTGGGCAAAGGCAAGCACATATTAAAGGAGCTGCTTCAATATCAGAACAGTTTTAATATTTTTTCCATACTTGTCCCTCTACATCTTGCAAGTAAGTGAATTTATCAGTTTACATTAGAGGCAAAGATGCCTAAACACAAAAACATGAGCAGGATGATAAATTACACTATGATGTTCTTTCTGATTCTGTATGTTTTATATGAGCAGCAATTAACCGAAAAGTGGAGAGTGAGCCACTTACCCAAAGTCGTTCATGTATCTGTAGCGGCTAATGTTGACACCTCTACACTCCAGGTGAATATGACTGTCATCCTCACTGTCATGGGGTTTGCATCAGATATATGCTTGTGGAGCCGCCAAACAGGTTCTACAATCTCAGCATGACAACCACACACACCGAAACTACAGATACAGAGAGTAAGATTGAAAGTGATGCCTAGGATTGTGTGTTTAGATGTCATTTTGTGGCATGATGCACTTAAATGTTCTTGTATGTTTTGAATCAATTGGGATGTTTTTTGGGGGTCTTCTGCGTCATGGAGAACTTTTAATTCAGACAGACTTGCCAAAGCAACAGTGATTTGATCGAAAAACCTGCATTTGTTAATGTCATATAATAGGCAATCTCATATTTGAACTATATATGCTGAGCTAAACTATGTTTTAGTTGAGGATGTGATCAAATATTTAATATTTGTGGGGACCAAATGTCAAATCGTGGGTAGCTACAGCCCTGATTTCAGTCAGATCATTAAAAACTTGACATAAACATTCCCTGAGAAAAAAAGATTTAAGTGTGTTTTGTCAACAGTGAAATATTCCAAGCAAACTGTTGTGTTTGCAAGGGTTTGGCCTTACAGTCTTGAGCCACACACCCTACTCCCTTCACACAGTTCTTTCTAAGAATGCATAGGGCTACAGAAAGGTTTCAGCTGGATGTTTTGAAAGTTTCAGTTAAGGGATTGTTCGGGATTGTAAAAAAAATCTTTCTTTCTTTTTTTCTGTGTGATATTAAAGAAGATATTTTAAAAAAAAACTTCAACATTGGACCTGATTGACTTTCATTGTATGGACAGAAAAGTAGACACATTCTTCAAAATATCTTTCTTTGTGCTCCACAGGAGGGTGAATAAATGATGACAGAATGTTAGAGTGAACTATCCCTTTAACATGCGACACCCACAAACCCGGATTGAAAAGTATTTCGGAAGTGATTGTTCAGATTTCTCAGCACTACTGAGGCATATTCAGTTAAATTAACCCACAAACGTCCAACAGGAAACTGATGTCTTGTTGAATAGTACTGAAAGTTTGGAAAAGATGTCCAATGAAACAAACATAATGAAATGTTAATGCAATGCATTTGTTGTTCTGAAATGATTTGTCATTCTGGCATACGATAAAGACTTTATTGTAAGAGTTCTTTTTTGTTTCATTTCATGAACTGTAGTACATCCACATTTCTAAGTGATAAGTAATATATTTAGCATGCTTTGAAAAGTATTACTATTAGTCACCCACCTTGCAACCACAAGCTCTTGGCGGCACAAATGGATCCCTTCATCCTAGCCACTATTCATAACAGAAAACAGCTTCCAAGTCTTACAAGAAGAGACTGTCAATGCAGATATGTAACAGTTTAACTACATGGACACTAAACTGTTCAGCAATTGTGAATGTTTACAGTGTATGAAAGTTTATGAATGGAATGAAATTGTATACATTCACTATATACACAGGCTTGACTTTATTTCTCTAAAAACAGTGAAGGCCTTCATTGATTGAGTATCTGCCTTTTTTTTGTCTATTATAATACCTTTAAACATATGTCATTATTTACTATTTTGCATTTACAGTTTTTAGACTTTTGGACTATACATTAAAAAAAAGAATTTTGTTTATGCGAAGTTTACGCTTTTATTCACTTTTTTTATATATCCAGTTAATTTGGTATTTATGTGTACTATTTGTAATATTTTTTTATAACTAAGAGTTGTCATTATAGCATCACACCAAACACATTTTTCATTAGTTTTTTTTTTAATGATAGAAATGAAAAGGGACATGGAAGGACATCTCTGGAGCTGGAGCGAGTGATATGAAAATCAGAAATGACATTCATTTAAAAAAAAAAAATCTTACATCATGATCAGAGAGTAGATTAGTGTCATTACCAAACTGATTTAATACAGAAATAAATTGATTTGACAGAAATAAAAATGACACTATCATCACACGCAATAAAAATTCCACACATAGTGAAACATCTACAGAAATTTCATTTTGCAAGATTTCAAGAATAGCCAAAAGTGCATCTAACTGAAGATTCACCCATGCATGACCTGTTTTCTCTGTGTACTCAGCAAAGCTCCTGTTGACTGCACTGCATGAACGGCCACGGATGTATTACCGAACCTCAAAAGAAAGTGTTAGAGAGAGGAAAGCACCTTGTGTGCTTAGTGTAGGCTAATGCATGAAGCTTGACTGTGGCATTGAGCTTGTGCACATGTTGTGGCAAGAGCAGTACTTTCGCCTTAAGGGATGACTTTGGAGTTGAGTCTTTGACTTTTATTTATTCGAGTTACATCCAAGTCTTAGCGTCTGGGCATCAGGTATGAACTTGCCTCTCTCATTGTATCTCTGTAATGAAATACATTCACCAGAAAGCGGGAAACAAAAGCTCTCCTCGAGCTGTAAACGTGTTAAGGCCTCACCATTAATTAAGGAAGAACCTCATAGTGATGGAAGCAAAAACACAATAATGAAAGTTGCTTCACGCTTCAAACAGGTGTCTGAATCAGTACGGCCATAGGCAATCTAGAGGAGCACAAAAAGAGCATTTTACTCAGTCTGGTCCTAGTTGAGAGGTGATTTTTTTAGTTTATTTGTTGGCTGCTTTCGCTGTGGTACTCTGTGGTGCTACAAAATGTGGTTGGGCAACTGTTAGTTTGAATGGTGAAAAACACATTTTTGTCATTGCACATACCATCTGCACAGTACTGAATGCTCCAGATACCACTGATCCGGTTGTGACATACCGGTACTCGCATTGTTTAAAAACCACTAAGATGCCACAGAAGCTTTTGTTTATTCTATTTATCAAAAGTTCTGACCCTCAGACCATAATTTAATACATCATATAGATTACCTTTTTTTAAATAAAAAAAACAACACATTTTTAAATAAACATGACTATTTCTTGAAATATGGTTAATTTGATGTTTTATAATTTTTCACAACTGTTTCTAGAAACATTGGTTGCACTTTATTTTTTACAGTACTTTCAATGTACTTACCAAAGTAAGTACTGAGTAATACAAGGTAACATGGGTTACGATTAGATTTAGGAGTAGGTTCCTCTTTCTACATTTTCCCAACAGCTCAACAACATAACAGGCTCTGGTGAGTTTAATTTATTAATTTTTATTATATTATTAAGTAAATATGGCTATATTTTATGTCACATTAATGACATGTCAAATCATTTTAAAGAAATTGCTCGGGATTTTTACATAGCTTTCCTGATTTTAAGAAGGTCGTTTAGTAGCTACCAATGCCAGAAAAACAAAATGGCTGTTGCATTTAAAAGTCCACTTGCATGATCTGCAAAATATGATTATTTTGTCAACAAATAGAAAAGTAAGTGTCTCCCAGAAACACAAATTTCATATAATCCTTAAGAGGGATAAAAGTAAACACATTTGGCTTACCATCACTTATATACTTCTGGGCTATAAGAATATCTATTATTCAATATTAGAGTAGCAGAAGTGAATAAAAATAGATGAGGTCTGCGGGGGAGGTGGAGGAATGCTGGAAGAATGGTCATGGAACTGAGATAAATATTTAAGCAGTTTATTTTAAAGGCGCTATAATAATAGTTACTGTCTAAATCAATGTATGACTCACTGTGAAAATAATACAAAGTCTGTAGGCTACAGCATATGCATTAGGGACATCCATATACAAATTGAGGGTCTATTCAATTTAGGGTAATTCAGACATGTCTGACATTCCTGTTGGTTCCGAGTAGTTCCTGTAACATGCATGGCCATTGAGTCAGTGTTGTTGGCACTGTATAGTATCCTTGTAAACTAGGTGCGGCAGGGATTGAGCGTTGTGAACACACTTCAGCGGAATGCCACCACTCCACATTCTCATGCAGGTATTTGAAACCCAATGCAACTGCACAACTAAGGCCAAAGAGAACCATAAAAAGATCACCGTTTTAACAGATCTCTAGCGGACAGGACGTGCGAATGGTGGAGTGGTAGCAGTGTCTCTTAAGGGCATTAAGGGCACTTGTTGAAATAGAGAGCAAGGCAAAGTTTCTCCAGCTGGACTATAACTGTTTCTTCAACTAAGAGCTTAGTGGACTTTTAAAAAGTTTAACTTCTTTAAATTGTATTTCAAAGGAGAATTGTTTTATTTATTAAAGTAATAAAAAGTACCACTATTGTCATTTTTACTACGGTTCAAATGATGTATTGTGTTAAGCAATAGCAGCATTATAAATGACATTTAAACATTGTGGAATAAAATGGATGATTTTGTCTCTAATAGCTATAGCATTTTTATTAATTTCCTAAATGCACACAATGAAATGATAATTTCACAATTTTTGCACTATTGATACCACACCACAACTGTTGGAAAGACATGTACAGACATATATATTTTTTTTATTATTGATATAAATCATTTTCCCACTAAATAAATATTGAATTTCAATTGATTTAAATCTTGACTCAAGACCATTTTAATGTGACCATAATTTAACTAAAATAAAAGCTTAATTTAAAAACAATTAAAAAGTTTCTTATATGCTTGTAAAGTGACTGAATGTTTTATGCAGTGAGTTTGCTATCTGTACATTAATGGGTTTCCTCTGAAACTAAATTAATGTTTTACTCTTTCTATAAAATACATGATCATTTAAATGCGCATGCCATGAAGTATGAATATATGAAGCATGAAAAAAAATTCTACACTTATTTCTGATGTGCAGGCTTAGTGTATGAGGCCAGAGCTTGGATAAGGCCAACAAGGATCCCTTAGTATCAGTATTGTGTCACTTAAACTAGTTTGCTCTTTGGTTTGAGGAATGTGAGTGCCAGAGAACTATTTGTACTCAACAGCACCAAGATTCTTCTGATAAGTCTCTAAGACAAGAGTTTCTTAATGAGCACATGCATTTTTTTGTGAAACAGACTTGAAAATGTGAAGTGTCTTTGTGATGCTTCCTCTGATGTCCCATCCGTAAGGTCTAGCATTGCACCGGAGGCACGTGTTCACTTCTACACAACATTCCCGAATCAGCCTAATAATG